TTCATATAATAGTTTGAGTAGAGTTTAGGGTCAGGGTTTATTAATTAAAGTGTATAGATGGGTTTTAGTAGGTTTTAGTGTTCTAAATAGAGACCCCAAAATTTCAGCTTCAGCCGTTTTCAGCATCAGCTGCGACAATGATTTTTTTATTTAAAAACTAGTTTCTAAAATTACTAAAACTAGTATTAAATCCATTTTCATTAATTAATACAGGGTCAATTAAACTATTGAATATGAAGTAACCTTGAGGTTGATAACATTGAAGGTAGTAAGGATTGAGATTGTTGGTGAATTGAACAGGCATCATACTTGGAGCCAAAATATTTTGTCTATATTCATGTGATAAGTAATTAGGTAAAAAACTGGATAGAAGGTAGCTTTCTGAAATGGGTTCGATAGATAAATTGGGTGATGTTGAATTATTTTGACAGTTGTTATTATCTGTTGAAGCTTGGATATTGTTTGTTTCTTGTATCTGTAATGGTTCAAATTTTTTATTGGATTCAATTTTTGTGGACTTGACAATATCATTAGCCACCAATGAAGGATGCTGTTTATAAGTATTATTTGATTTTCTACTTTTTTTGTTTTTATCTCTAATTGGTGTATATTTATAATTCGGATATAGTAATTTGTGCTTCATATTTGCTATTTCTGTTAATTTAGCCAAAATTGGTATTCATGCTGATTAAATTTTTTAACTGCTGCCCATCTTTCCTTCACGATTTTAGATGAGTTTGGAATATTTTTACCAACCTTTTTTTTACTATTATTATTATTATTATTATTATTATTATTATTATTATTATTATGTGGATTATATTCGGCTGTTATATCGTTATGAAAAAGTATAAAACAATTTTGTGGACATGGGATGGTCTTAGCCCTAGTATTGACTGAAGAATTCCATAAAAGATCTAATCGTTTTGTAGTTCGAACATTACCAAACTTATAAATAAGTTCATTTACCAATTTTACTATTTGGCAGGGTTCATTATTAAAAATAATTTTTTGCTAAGAGATTGGTATTCGGTTGGACTCACGTTTTTCTTTAGATGGCGAACAAGAACGAAAATTATAATTGGTTTTTGACATCATTTAAATTTTTAAAATTTTGAAATACTGTAAAAGATCATGCTTATATAATACAATGCGACACGTAAAATTAGCTTTAATGACTATTTTTTATTTAAAGATGTATTCAATAATGCCCACAATAACTGTGTAATATCAATTGTTAAAAATTTAGATTAACTAATCGAGCACTTCAGCATGTATTGTTTGCAGTGTAATCAGGAAATTTTAATGTTGTTTTAGAAGTTTATATGTATTGTGAATTATTAATCGGTTGACTTTATTTTTTTGATCCATTCAAATACTATTTATTTTGATATTGAAAAGTATAGATTGTATAAAACAATTAAATATTCTTATTTATACTCTAAGCACGTTCATTTGTTCAAATTAAATTGTAAATTTTATTACAATAAATTAATATATACTAAGCAAATTATTTAAAAAAAAAAAAAAAGTAGAAGTAAACATCACTACTACCAAATTTGTATCACGTATCATTGCAAAATGCGGCTAAAATATAAAAAAAGTAAGCGAATTAGTGTGTACTATACTATAGTTTAGACGAAATCATGTAATGATAATCATCACCTGTCATAAAATACCAAGACAAAATTTAGGGTGTTCTCAAGTAGCACACTCAATTAATTAGATAATGATCGTAATGGTGCTCAACCGTTATGTAAAATTTAATTAGATCTTCATTAAAAATCAGTAGAGCGAATAATGATGTAATTGACGTGTTCTCATGTACCACCCTCAATGTTATTGATTTGTGATTGTGTTTACGTTTAAGCGTTGCAATAATTGAAATATTGATTGCGATTAATAGTTGAGTAAATACTTTTATTGTTGCTATCTTCTAATCGCTAATTGTAAAAATCGTTTTTACAAAACTGTAATAATAAAAAAAAAAATGTCAAAGTAAATTATTAATCAATTACACAATAACAACTAGTACATCTTCCATTTAATAATGATAACTTGCAATGAGTGCAATAATTATGGACATGATGATCCTCTGCACGTTCTCCACATGTGTCACAATAACTACCCACAAATTTCCAGTCTTGTCCTTTAATAACACAATTACGACCACTATTACAATTAATATAAAAACAGTTGATCCACTTATGTCCCTTCTCTCTACAATAATAACACTTTGTTCTTCGGAATGCTAAAAGTAAAGTTTTTAGTAAATGTAAATATATGTTTAGAGTAGAGTACACAGTATAGTTGTTAGACGAAACCATGTGATGCTAAATGTCACATATCATTATTTAATAAAAACTAGATTAAGGATGTTCTCAAGTGCCTTAGTCAATCGATTGGAATAGAGTCGGGGGCAAATTATAATTAATAAAAAATTGGGTTTCCGAATCAATTGTATTTATTACTCCAATGAATGATGCAAGGCTACGATAGTTTAATATATCATAGAGAAAAATTAATTAACAGAAGATCGTTTAGCTGATCAAAAGTATTTATCATTCCAATTAAAAGGAATAGAGGCCCAAACGTCCTTTTTTTTTCACAGAGCTACGCTAATTGGCCA